CAGGAGAGATCTTGCTGTCTGCGATGTCCTGGAAGTGCCAGAAGGCAGTCAAAAAGAATTGCTTCTCGCGCGCGGGCCGGTCGAAGAGCGCGCGGCGCGGCCCGCTTCGCGCGGAGTTGCTGGCGACTGGTGGGAAGGATGTGGTGCCTCCAGGAGTTGTCCTAGGGGCCCGCGCGTGCATCGATGGCTCAGGTCTGGACCCCGAGTAACCGCAGTTTTCCAGGGCTGGGTGGGCTGCCGTATCTGTTTATCCCGATGGGTTCAGAGGCTGGATCCATGGGGCTGTATACGGCCCGCTCCCACATGCGGTTCAGGTGGCTGGGTGTGGTGAGGTATGCGCATTCTATATGAGCCTGCTGCTTGCAGGACCTGAGCCCATGGAAGTGGCGACAGAGTGCGCGATGGTTATCTCGATGTGGAATGGAGGGCCCCAGCGGGATCTACAGAAAATCGCCTCCTCGGAGATTTGGGTGGACATATCCCGCTCCGGGGAGGTCATCGGCAGGGAAAACATTTGACTTAGCAACGTAGAGTCTCACTTGTCACTCCTCCAGTCCCGCGTGCGTGGGATAGAGAAGTGGAGGCGGCGCGGCAATCGCAAGGCGGATGAACCGGCCAAAAAGTGCGCCCGTCTCCAGCCTTGGAACACCCACGCGCAGGCAATTATATGATGAGCAGTTGCCGCGAGTGCGGCAAGCAGCGCGGTTGATTGCCGAAGTTATGAACGGGCTCAGTGTTCGGTCCTTTCCTGATGCGGCTCGGCCCCGTCGGCCCAGACGGGCCAAGCCGCGCCCTCTGGAGCTGGCGCCTGATCCCAAGGGACACGCCATCGAGAAATTCGGCATGTCAGGCGTTCGATGTTTATTTTGCGGCGAGAATGGAAAGTCTCATGCTGCGGTGTCTGTCTTCCCTTGCGGTGGCCCACCTAGGGTTGCTGGGTGCAGCCATAAGACGCATGGAATGTGGTTGATGGGGGGCCGCGTTGGGCGGCGCTCGTCTCGTGGGGCCCACGGCGAGGCTCGCTCCCACAACCTAAGCTCTACGCGTCTATCGGGGCCTGGCAACCGCCGCGCGTCAGGGAGTTTGAAGCAGGTCAAGAATGACACCAACCCCAGCACGAAGACATATGTTGGGAGGTCGGTGCCCCTTGCTCGGTCGCTTCATGGCTGGGATTCGATGGCCCCACCCGAGTGACTGCGCCGTCTCTTCTTGCTGCCTCATCGCGGCCAGCATGTCTCACGCGCGGTGACGGGGTTTCCGAGACCAACGGGAGACCAACAGGAGGAGGCCAGAGGCTTTCTTGGGACAGCCTGGGGCTCTCTCGAGGCTGTCTTGGGCCGTCCAGGGCTCCTCGTGCGCCGCCCCGAGGCACTGTCGGAGGCCTCCTGAGCAAATTGGGGTTTTCCTGGGCTATCTTGCGGCAATATTGGAGGCTTCTTGGGCCGTCTTGAGCTGACGGAAGCCCGAAGCGAAAATCGCTCAATAATCTAAGGAGATTGTTGATGTTGTCTTTTCGGGTGCTCCAGAGGGTCCAGTTGGAGCCCTCTTGGGCTGCCTTGGGCCATCTTGGCGGTCTTGGTGGCTTTCCTGGGCCGTCTTGGATTCCCCCGAAGGCCCTCGTGGGCTAGCTTGGGGCTCTTTTGGTGCGGTTCTGGGCCATCGAAGGTCCCTTTTGCACCGTCTTGATGCCGTCTTGGAGGCCTATTGGGTCATTTCGGGGGTATCTTGGGCCGTTTTGGAGCAATCTCGGAGGCTTCTAGGGCCGTCTTGATCGGACGGATGTTCGCAGCGAGAATCGTTCAACAACTTTTTAGGCAATCGGTGATTGTTGCTTCTTCGGGCTTTCTGGAGGATCCTTTTGTAGCTCTCTTGGGCGGTTTTGATGGGTTCCTGGGCCGCCTTGAGATCATCTTGAGCCGTCGTGCCGTCTTGGAGCCATCGCTCTTTTGGGTGGAGACTCTTTGGAAAGCCATTTTGGGTGAATCTTGGCCGGCTTGGCGGCCATCTGGCAGGTCTTGGAGCCGTCTGGGGGCCCTCTGGGGCTGTCTTGGGGCCGTCGTGGAAGCATCCTGGGCGCTCCTGGGGCGATCTCGGGGGCTTCTTGAGCCGTCTCGGGCTGTGTGCAAGCACAAGGAACGAATCTCGAGAAGCATTGGAAACATAAAGAAAGTCTATGATGTCCTTGGATTTGTTTCGGCCGTCTGGGAAGACTCTGGCGTGGGTGAGAGTCCTGAGGAATGGGTGCTGGGGTGTGTTTCGGTAGCTCTCGTGGGCCGCTGTGGGGCAGTGCAGGACCTCTTCGAGGCTTGAGGGCCTTAGGGCTGGGGGCATTGTGACCCATAATGGGGCCTTCGTGGCCCGTTTTAGGACTCTGTTGGGGGTTTCTTGGGGCGTCTCGGGCCGATCTTGGGGGCTTCTGGGGTTGTCTGGGAGCTTCGGGTAGCGAAAGAGACGAGAACGCAATAACCTGTGGAAAACGGGCGAGAAACGAAGGATTTTGCTTGTTTGGGCCTTCGTGACGGCGGCAGCGGTGGTAGCGACGACGGCGCTGATGTGGGTTGGGTCCTCAGGGGTGCTTCTTGGGGTCTCTTCCGAGCGCTATCGAAGGCCTCGGGGCAGTTTGGGGGCCCATTGGGAGCCTCTTGGGGCCTCTTGGGGCTTCTTCGGGGCCTCTTGGGGGCCTCTTGGGGCTGAGGGCTTGAAATGTCCGTTCGGGTCCCCCGTCTGGGCACCCTCCTGGTGGGCCGTCTTGGAGGCGTCTTGGGCCGTCTTGGGGCCCTCTTCGGCCGTTAGGGGACCCTCATGGGGGCCTCTTGGGCCCTCTCGGGGCAATCTTTGGGGCCTCTTGGGCCGTCTTGGCGCGTCGGGAAGCGAAAGAGGCAAGAACGCCAAAATCTATCCAAAACGTATGGGGAATCCCTGAATTTTGCCTTTGGGGGCTCTCGTGGGAAAGCTCCTGGAGGCCTCTTGGGGCGCTTTGCAGGCCTCTTGGGCCGTCTGGAGGCCGTGAAGGCGTCTTGGACAGATCGTTCGGCGATTCGGGGTTCTCCTGGACTGTCTTTGGGGCCTTTTGGGGCACTCCTGGCCCGTCTTGGGGCTTTTTAGGGCTCCGGGACTCCCCCCGGGAGGGGCGTCGTATCTGACTTCCCCCCCCCCATGCAGGAAGCCCCTGGGGACGCCACCCCAGGGACCCCCCCCGGGGACACCCCCCCGGTGGCGGGGAAGGGATCGAAGGGAAGGGGCTTCCATTCGACTCAATTACGACGTTGCTCAACTTCGCTTTGGCTGGCGTGCTGAGGAGGTCCCTGGGAAAGGGGAGGAGCTTCGACGAGCCCAGGGAAGGGGGGAGGCAGGGAAAGAGGACGACAGAGACGACGACCAACGAATGACGGAGATGACGACTTGAACGGACAAGCCCATCACACACGCCGACAGGGTCGGCGGAGTTTCGCGTGCAATACATTACTTGCAATACAATGCAAGACAATTCTCCGGCGCAGTACGTTTGCAATACAGTCGCCCCAAATCTATTGCACCTTCCCCTTTCACCTGGACCCCCTTTTGGGTCGCCCAAACATGTGTCTGTTGTCCGTCGCGGCGTTGTGCTCCTCCTCTTCGGCCGTTCGGGCCCGCCGAGCGGGCCCCGGGACCACCGGTGCCCAGGGCGCAGAGCTAGACCGCCTGGGGCGTCGACAGTTTCTGCTCAAAAGCAGGTTCTTCTTCTGAACCCGAAGGAGAAGACGAAGAAGAAGAAGAAGACGAAGAAGAAGACGAATTAAGAAGAAGACGAAGAAGGACAATAAAAACAACAAACGCCATAAACATGAACTTTGAGCGCTCCGCGCGGATCTCTTGCATCGGCGCATGGGCCTCCCCGGCGGCGCGTTTGGCGCCGCCCCTGGCGCGCTTCGCGCGCCAGGGAAGGGGGGTCCCAGCGCAGATCCAAGAAATCTGCGCGGAGCGCCAAAAGTTTAGGTTTATTGTGCTTCTTCTGGTTCTATTGTAAGCGGTATTATTCCTTCTTCTATGTTGGCGTTTTTGTTTCTTATATCTTCGAACGTTCCTGCTTAGAAGCAGCGTCTTCTGCTGGGACGGCGGCCGCGGCGGCGAGGCCGCGCCCTCCTGGGACCCTGCAGAAAAACGACAGCAGCCCGCGGCGCGGCAGCTGGCCGCAGGCAGGCGCCGGGTGCGTCTGGAGCCTCCTCCTCCTCCTCCTCCTCCTCCTGCTCCTCCTCCTCCTGCTCCTCCTCCTCCTCCTGCTCCTGCTCCTCCTCTCCTTCTCCTCCTCCTCCCTCCTCCTCCTCCTCCTCCCTCCTCCTCCTCCCTCCCCCTCCTCTCTCCTCTCCTCCTCCTCCTCCTCCTCCTCCTCCACCTCCTTCTCCTCCTCCTACTCCTCCTTCGGCTCCTCCTCCTCTTCTCCTCCTCCTCCTCCTCGTTCTCATACTCCTCGAACTGAAGCAGGGGCAGATTTCCGATGAGGGCCACCCGTCGGACGGGCGGCCAGGACCAGGATAGATCCGTTCCAGAGCGTCCCGGAACGCTCTCAGAGCGCTCCAGAGTGCTTGGAGAAGGCCGCGGCGCCCGAGACATCCTCCAGGGCCGCCGGATCTCAGAGATTCTCGTTTTTTACTCGTCTGAATTTGTCCCTGTCCTGCCTCCGTTTCAACCCAGAGCGGAGATTGAAGGATTCGCGCGATGTCCGAAAGCAGGGGCCACGTCGTCAGGGTACGCAGAAGTTTGCGCCATGTGCTCGATGATCCTCAGGACGTGTTGGCCCAATGTGTGTTGACCCCGTTCAGCTCTGCCGATCGCACGCGGCCTGCGCCGGCCTTCATTAGTTATCATTAATTGCACCGCCTATGTCGCATCGGAGGGCTGCAGTGGACAAGCGCATTTTGGCCCATAATCGGAGGATTATCGATGTGCGCCCAGGGGGTCAGTGGGATCTGATGGGTGCTGCTGAGCTGCTCCCGTGATTGGATTTCGCGCGGTTTCCAGAGGACCTCTTCGTCCACCGGAACCAGCTGAGGTCGGAGGGCGATGACGTGTTCGCTAGTCTGGACCGCGCGCTGGTGTTCTTCGATACCGTTGGCACTGTTGGCATAGTACCCTGCCAGGTGTTGGCATCTGTGTGCTCGGCAGCATCGTGTTCCCCCGTCCCAATTCAACGCAGCTCCACCGCCTGTGCATGCCCTGAACCATGGTTCAGCCATTCGTGGTGCAAAGTTCGGTTTCAGTGTGGCCCTTCACCGTACATTTTCTTAGCAAGGCACACGTCTGAGAACTGACAGATCATCTGCCCTCAACGCTCCGACGCAACGGTCTTGGTCCAGCTCGGCGATGGCGTTTTGTCCTTGTCCTTTCCGAGTGTTCTCTCTTTTCCCTGGCTCTTTGTGCAGACTCTCCTCGCTTCTCATGAAGGGCGGAGGGGTGGAGTGACGAAAAGGGGGAGTAGCAGGTCTAGTGTCTAGTAGTAGTCGTAATTAGTAGTAGTAGCAGTAGTAGTAGTAGTAGTGGTAGTAGTAGTGGTAGTAGTTGTAGTAGTAGTGGTAGTAGTAGTAGTAGCAGTAGTTGTGGTAGTCGTAATTGGAGTTGGAGTCGTAATCGTCGTTGTAGTAGTAGTCGTCGTAATTGTAGAAACAGTCGTAGTAGTGGTAGTTGTAGTTGTAGTCCTTGTAGTATTATTAGTAGTAGTAGTAGTAGTAGTAGTAGTAGTCGTAGTAGTAGCAGTAGCAGTAGCAGTAGCAGTAGTAGTAGTAGTAGTAGTAGTAGTAGCAGCAGTCGTAGTAGTAGTAGTAGTAGTAGTAGTAGGAGTAGGAGTAGGAGTAGTAGTAGTAGTAGTAGTATTAGTAGTAGTAGTAGTAGTAGTAGTAATAGTAGCTGTTATCGTAGCAGTAATTCCCAGAGTAATCGTAGAAGTGCTGGTCGTAGTAATCGTAGTAGTAGTAGTATAGTATTAGTAGCAGTAGAAGCAGCAGCAGAAGTAGTAGGGATAGTAGTACTACTAGTAGTAGTAGTAGTAGTAGTAGTAGTAGTAGTAGTAGTAGTAGTAGTAGTAGTAGTAGTAGTAGTAGTAGTAGTCGTAGTAGTAGTAGCAGTAGTAGCAGTAGTCGTAGTCGTAGTCGTCGTCGTAGCAGTAATAGGTAGTAGGCGTAGAAATCGTAGTAGGTTTACTAGTAATAGTAGTAGCAGTAGTAGCAGCAGTAGCAGCAGCAGCAGCAGTAGTAGTAGTAGTAGTAGTGGTAGTAGTAGTCGTAGTAGTCGTAGTAGTCGTAGTAGTCGTAGTAGTAGTAGTAGTAGTAGTAGTAGTAGTAGTAGTAGTAGTCGTACTACTACTAGTAGTAGTAGTAGTACTAGTATAGTACTAGTACTAGTAGTAATAGTAGTTGTAGTATTAGTAGTAGTTCTGTTTGAATCGTTTATTATTATCAGTAGTAGTAGTAGTAGTAGTAGTAGTAGTAGTCGTAGTCGTATTGGTAGTAGTGGCAGTAGTAGTAGTAGTAGTAGTAGTAGTAGTAGTAGTAGTAGTAGTAGTAGTAGTAGCCGTAGTAGTAGCAGCAGTCGTAGTAGTAGCAGTAGTGGGTGGCCTGTAGGTAGGCATGTAGGCAGCTCGTAGTTTGTAGTCGTAGGGTACTAGTAGTAGTCGTAGTAGTAGTAGTAGTAGTCGTAGTAGTAGTAGTAGTAGTAGTAGTAGTAGTAGTAGTCGTAGTCGTAGCAGTCGTAGCCGTAGTAGTAGTAGTAGTAGTAGTAGTAGTAGTAGTAGTAGTAGTAGTGGCAGTAGTAGTAGGAGGAGGAGGAGGAGTAGGAGTAGCAGTAGTAGTAGTGGTCGCCGTAATCGTGGTACTGGCAGCTAAGTGGTAGTAGTAGTAGTAGCAGTAGTCGTCGTAGTAGTAGGAGTAGTAGTAGTCGTAGTAGTAGTCGTAGTAGTAGTCGTAGTAGTAGTAGTAGTAGTAGTAGTAGTAGTAGTAGTAGTAGTAGTAATAGTAGTAGTCGTAGTCGTCGTCGTAGTAGGAGTCGTAGTAGTAGTCGTAGTAGTAGTCGTCGTAGTAGTAGTAGTAGTAGTAGCAGTAGTAGTAGTAGTAGTAGTAGTAGTAGTAGTAGTAGTGGTAGCCGTACCACTAGTGGCAGTCATGCAGTAATAGCCGTACGAGTAGGATCAGGAGCAGTAGCAGTAGCAGCAGAAGTAGCAGTAGCAGTAGTAGTCGTGGTAGTAGGTAGGTCGGTGGGTAGGCAGGTAGGTCGGTAGGTAGATGGGTAGGTCGGTAGTAGTAGTATCAGTAGTGGTAGTGGTAGTAGTAGTAGTAGTAGTAGTAGTAGCAGCAGCAGTAGTAGTAGTAGTAGTAGTAGTAATAGTAGTAGTAGTAGTAGTAGTAGTAGTAGTAGTAGTAGTAGTAGTAGTAGTAGTAGTAGTAGTCGTGGTAGTATTAGTAGTAGTAATAGCAGTGGTAGTCGCAGTCGTAGTAGTAGTAGCAGCAATAGTCGTAGTCGTAGTGGTAGTAGTAGTAGTAGTAGTAGTAGTAGTAGTAGTAGTAGTAGTAGTTAGTAGTAGTGTAGTAGTAGTAGTAGTAGTCGTCATAGTAGTAGTGGTAGTCGTAGTAGTAGTAGTAGTAGTAGTAGTAGTAGTAGTAGTAGGGGTAGTCGTAGTAGTAGAAGAAGAAGTAGTCGTAGTAGTAGCCGTAGTAATAGGAGTGGAAGTTATCGTAGTATGATGATGATGATTAGTATTATTATTATTATTATTAGTAGTAGTAGTAGTAGTAGTAGTAGCAGTCGTAGTAGTAGTAGTAGTAGTAGCAGTAGCAGCAGTCGTAGTAGTAGTAGTCGAAGTAGTGGTGGTAGGAGTAGTAGCAGTAGTCGTAGTAGTAGTCGTAGTACTAGTAGTAGTAGTAGTAGTAGTAGTAGTAGCAGTAGTAGTAGTAGTAGTAGTAGTAGTAGTAGTAGTAGTAGTAGTAGTAGTAGTAGTAGTAGTAGTAGTAGTGGTAGCTTTCGTAGTAAGAGTAGGAGTAGGAGTAGGAGTAGGGGTAGGGGTAGGAGTAGGAGTAATAGGAGTAGGAGTAGGAAGAGGAAGAGGAGGCAGAGAAGGAGGACCAGGATAAGGGTGATGAAGAGGAAGAGGAGTGTGAGTAGACAGACGAGGAGGACGAGGAGGCGGAGAAGGAGGAGCACGAGAACGTTGAGGACCACGACGACGAGATGGAGGACGAGGAGACCCAGGAGGAGGAGGAGGAACAGGAGGTGGAAAACGAAATGCACGAGGATTAGGTAGAAGTGCGACGATGGAGAGGAGGATAACGACGAGCAAGAAGAGGTGAGACGGAGGAAAACGCGGAGGAGGAGGAGGACGAGGAGGGAGGATAGACGGGGGATGAGACCGAAGAGGAGGGGGATGTGGGAGGAGATGAGGGACGTGTGGGTAGACGTTTTGAGGCCGTCTCGGCGTCTCTTGAAGCTTCACCAAGTTGGAATATCTTGCACGGTCTCGACGGCCATCTTGAGCTACCTGAGCAAAGTATTGGCGGCATGTTGCGCCATATCGGATGCTGTAGCTGCCCACGACACACGTTCTGCAAGTTTCGAGGGGGATTGAGGAGAAAGGAGGAGGCACAGAGAAGGTTAGGGGGGGACGACAAAAGAGGAGGAGGAGGAGGAGGAGGAGGAGGAGGAGGAGGAGGAGGAGGAGGAGGAGGAGGAGGAGGAGGAGGAGGAGGGGGGGGGAGCGCATCCTCTCCGTCCTCCCTGCTGAAGCCTTGAAGGTGAGGGCAGGCTCATCCAAGATCGAAGCCCTCCCCCTCCTCTTCCTCCTCCTCCTCCTCCTCCTCCTCCTCCTCACTCTCAGAGGTCCTCCCTCCCCCTCCCAGAGCACGTGCACGAACGAGGGGAACGCGGGGGAGGGGAGCGGGAGGCACCCGGAGATATCTGCCCCGGGAGCCCGGCGGTCGCCCCGGAGGTCTGGCGAGGTAGGGGGGCAGGAACGGCGCCCACCCCGTCGAGCAGCCGGCGCCCCGTGGGCCTGTCGGGCAGGCGAGCAACGGGCTCGGCGGGGAGAGAGATCCACCGTCAGGAGGGCACCCCCGCGGCAGACTTGGGCCGGCACGGACACGGAAAGAGCGCCGCAGGAATTTGCCCGACCCTGAGATCTTGGCGACTCGGTTTTTTCGAGCGGGGCGTGTTCGCCTTTTTTTTTCGGGTCCCGGGACCTCCACAGATCGATCCGGCTCGAAAAATGATGCAGAAAGATGGGGTCCGGGGCTCCGGGCGCGGATGCTCCGGCTCCGGGTCCGCTGCACCCTAGAAGACGTCTATTTTGGGTTAGACGCGATTTGCACACTCAGCGCTCCCGTCGAGGCGCCGTGCTCGAGTGTCTAGATCATGTTGTGTTAGACGCGCGTTAGAAACTCTTGGCTCCCGTCCGAGCGCGGTGGCCGAATGTCTAGTTCGTGTCTAAAATTCACCCGTGTCTAACATATCTCAAGTGTCTGACGCGTTTCGTGTCTAACGTCCCTAACAAGTGCCCAAATCGTGTCTAACTGACACGTACACAATGCGGCTATATTATAGGCTCAACGCACGCATGGAACGGCACGATGCAACACCCCATTCCGTCTTCAAGCAAAACACATCTTCGCAGTACGGCATAAACAAGTGTGACAAGTACAACGGTTCATGTAAGTAGCACCCCTCAAACTAAGGCCCTGGAGCATTACGGAATCACGGTCCGCCTGCCGAGGAACAATATTTTGGCGAAATGACGTCGACGGGGAGGACAAGGAGAAGGAGGAACAGGAGGAGGGGGCCACGAAGGCGACGAGAAACAGTCGGCAGGACGACGATGAAGACAATGAGGGCGGGAAGGACGAGGGGCATACATCTGAGGAGCCGCAAGGGGGACGGGGATGATGACCATGAGGAGATCGAGGGCTTGGACGAGGATGCGGAAAACGAATCGGCAAAGGAGGATAATGACGGGTGTAAGGCAGGAGGATGCAAGTAAGTACGAGGAATGGTAGCTGGAATATGAGGATGATGAGGAGGACGAACCAGAAGGTTCCTGAATGCTCCTACCACTCGTCACAACGATTCCAAAGGTCCGCCTCGTCGCACCTAACTCGTCATCTTTGTCATCCTCGTCCTTCGTTCCTCGTCATACTCCGCATCGTCGCGCCCCTCGCTGTCGTTGCCGCCCACCTCGTCCTTCTCGTCGTCCAGATCCTTCTTTCCCCATTCAACATCCTCATCAAACTCCGCCTCGCAACGCTTCCTACTCCATGCCAGTCGCATCCTCCTCCTCGTCCTCCACCTCCTCCTCCTCCAACTCTCCTCCCCCGCTCCGTCCCCATCCTCCGGATCATCTTCCACGTGCTGTCGTCATTCATGTTGTATTCACCTCCTCCCAACCTCGCTCCCAGCCTTTTTATCATTATCGTGCTCTTCGTCCTCGATGCACCCATCAAGCTAATTGTTTCCATTCCGAGTTCTAGCTAACAACGAACCGAAACATATCACCGACTGCAACAACCAATTGATTCGTATGACGTGTACGCGAACGCATGATACTTATTGTCTAAAGTGTCTAAACGTGTGACAAGACATGTCTAACGTGTCTAAATGTCTAAAACGTGTGTACAATAGTTCTAACTTTCCTAAAGCATGTCTAAACATAAAGGTTCGTGTCTAAACGTGTCTAACGTGTCTAACATGTCTAACATATCTAAAACACCATCGCTAAACCACAGTGTTTTACAATGGTTCGCAAGCCCAAGATAGACACGATATATACTCGTTGTAAATGGAGGAAGTCCTACACGCTACGCAACGTGATTTAGACACGCTCTCTTGTCTTCCTGGGCAGGAATCGACTAGACGTAAGAGTGACCTTTCGCCGGAGTGACCTTTGGTGCGGGCACAGAGGGGCCCTCTGATGGCTGATAACGAAGCGGTATCAGCGGCTTGCGAGCCCAGGTTTGATCTCCCCGCGGCCCCCAAAAGGGCCGCGCACGAGAGGTCACTCTTACCCAGGGTCGTTCTTGCGTGTAGCCGAAGGAACTTGCCCGAGATGGTTCATGGCACCCTTCGCTCCTCGGAGCCTGCGCGGCCCGGGGCAGAGTGCCGGAAACCCGAGTAGGCTCCTGGTGTGTCCCTCGCAATGGTGTGCGACACCGTGGGTGTTGATATGTTCCTGAAGGCGCCGTCCCGGGAGGCTCGTCTCGGCGGTGCGGCCAGAGCCCCACAGATGTGTATGTATATGCAATGTTACATAGGTTTTGGAGCAATTTGCAGGGACACACGGGGATGTCGCTGGGTTTTCTAATCGAGTCCAGACAGGGAGCATTGGTCTTACGAGCTTGTTCGTTCACCGCTCTCTGTTGGGAGTCCTGGTGTTCAGAGACTTGACGCTGGCGCTCGCTCTTGGAAGGCTTGCTATTCAGAGCTTTTTGCGTCACCGCGCTCTGGAGAGCCGTGGTGTTCAGAGCTTGTGATGTCACCGCTCGCTGTTGGGAGCCATGGTTTTACTTGGCGTCTCTGGGGCTTCTTGAGAGTCTTGTTGAGGCCCTTTGGGTCCCCTTTTGGGCCGTCTTGGGGCCCTTCTGGGCCGTCTTGGGGCCCTTTTGGGCCGTCTTGGAGCGTTTTGGGAGCCTGTGGCCGTCTTTGGGCTCTCTGGGGGGCCTCTGGGGGTCCTCTTGGGAGCCTCTTGGGGCCGTCTTGGGGCCCTCTTGGGCAGTTTGGGGGCCCTCTGGGGCACCTCTTGGACCGTGATCGGGCCATATTGGGGGCCTCGTGGGCCGTCTGTGGACGATCTTTGGAGCTTCTTGGACCGTTCTTGGCACGAGAAGGCGAGAACCCCCTAAAACCGATCAAACACCACTGACAAATCAATGAGTTTTGCCTCTGTGGGCCCTCTTGGGAAGCCTCTTGGAGGCCTCTTCGGGCGTCTCGGGGCCCTCTCGGGCCGTCCTGTAGGCTTTCGGTCGTCTTGGAACTTTCCTTGGGGCCCTCTTGGGAGCATCTTCAGGCCCTCTTGGGGCTCTCCTGGGGCCGTCTTGGTGCCCTCTGGGGCCGTTTTGGGGCCTTCTTGGGCCGTCTTGGGGCCCTTGAGCCGTTCCACTCGAAAAACTAGCAGGAATCGGGCCATTGGTGCCGCCCTGGAGCCGTTCCATTGGACAACATCACGAGGGAAGTTGGCCATGAGGCTTTACGCCCGCGCCTCGCCCCTCTCCTGGAACACCTCCCTGATTAGAGGGCTCCGCCCCGCCAGGACGTCGTCGCTCTTACCTCGCTCTTTCCGCTGCCCGTCCACGGAAGGAGGGTGGAGAATGGAGGATGGAGGAGGAGGAGGAGGAGGAGGAGGAGGAGGAGGAGGAGGAGGAGGAGGCGGAGGAGGTGGAGGAGGCGGAGGAGGAGGAGGAGGAGGAGGAGGAGGAGGAGGAGGAGGAGCAGCATCAGAAAGAGGGGGGGAGGGATCACGCCAGCAGGACCCTGGCGCCATCGTCGCCTTCAACGTCGGGGAGGCTGACAACGGCAGGCCCTGTGCCATGAACGTGCGGGTGCTTCCCCCGTGACATTTCGAGACATCGCTCGTGGGGGTGAAGTCGTGACGTCCACATTTTCCTCGATTGCGGCCTGCAGATGCCCCTATCGGACCCCGACAACGACGTCCACCACGACCACCACGACGACCATGACAACGGCCACCACGACCATGCCGACGACGACGACGACGACGACGACGACGACGACGACTAAGAAGACGAAGACGAAGACGAGGACGAGGACAAGGACAATGACGACCACCACGAGGACGACTGCCACGACGACGACCACCACCACCGCCGCGACGATGACGACCTCCACCAGGACCACCGCCACCACCGCGACGACCACCACGACGACGAAAGCCAAGACGACCGCGACCGGCCGGGCGACGACCATCCCGACGACGACCGCGGCGGTGGCGAAGGCCGGCTGCCCCCCACGAGGTTCTGCCGGCCCAGGAGGAGGAGGGCGAGGCGAAGGGCGAGGCCGCCAGCGTCGTCGTCGTCGTCGGCGTCGTCGGCGTCGTCGTCGGCGGCGGCGGGGGTTGTCCAGCCTCGGGCTGTTTTACAGCAGCTGCGCGTCGTCGGGAGTGCTCGAGTGGCGCCCGAGTCGTCCCGAGCGGCCGCTCGGAGTGCTGGGGCATGGCCCAGAAGCCACCAGGAGTCGGCGGCGAAATCCTGACCCTACCCTCGTCGATCAACGATTCAGGCAACTCGATGGGCTGGCGGGGCAGGGCTCGGAATTCGTCGAACCCGTGCCGAAATTCGAACTCTGCCTGCGCCTCCCATCGATTCAGGAGAATCGGTGGTTGGTGGGGGTAGTGCTCGAATGTCGCCACCTAGAGGTAGTCATAACCACGGAGGAAGAGGAGGAGGAGGAGGAGGAGGAGGAGGAGAAAGAGGAGGAGGAGGAGGAGGAGGAGGAGGAGGAGGAGGAGGAGGAGTTGCCGCGGGCCCACAGTTAGGGCGCTCGGGCTTGGCCTCCGCACGGCCCCCACTGAGCTGCGCACAACGGGTCACTCCCGTCTGGGCCGTCCCGCGTGCACAGTCGTCCTCCTCCTCCTCCTCCTCCTCCTCCTCTCCTCCCTCCACCCCCTCCTCCTCCTCCACCCCCTGCCGTTTCTGCCGTTTCTCGCTCAGGCAGCGTCTTACCTCCACCCCCTCCTCCTCCTCCTCTTCCTCCTCTTCCTCCTCCTCGTCCGTGCGGGCACCTCGGCTGCTCCCTCCGATGCGCCCCCACGGCGCGTGGAGCCGCAGCCGTGGCCCTGCCTTCTCCCGCGAGGCCTCCGTCGACGGCGACAGCTCCTCCGCGTCTGTGCGAGTGCGCTCCGCCGAGGCGACGCCACTTTCGTTGACCGCGCCCCGCTCGAAAAGCTTCGGAATGGGCGTCCAGGGCCCCGGCCTCCTCATCGCGCCCCCTCCTGATGCGCGTCGAGACTGCAGCCCGAAGAGCTCTTTCGGAGGTCCGTGCGACTCTCCTGGGGCGGCGCAGGAGACTTCCCCACTAGCGGCGCCTCCGGCGCTGGCGCCTCGGCGTGCTCCGCGAGCTTGCGCCTCGGGGTGGCTCATCGGCGACGCAAGAGATTGGCGCGGCCCTCGCGCTCGTGCTCGTCGTCCTCGTCGGCCTCAACGTCGCGGCCCTCGTCGTCGTTGCCCTTCTCCATGCCCGCCTCGTCTGTGCGGATTCCCCCGTGGGCAGAGGGCCTAGGGAGCCCGCCCTGCCTCAAAGGGGGGAGGAGGAGTTTCCCCTCGGAGTTCACTGACGCCCAAGATCAGGCGATCGCAAACATGGATCAAGGGGGCGTGGATTAGCGACGGGTCCCGCTTCCATGGGGAATCGCGGATTTCCGCCGCCGAGCGGGGCGGCACCGGCCGCGCTTTCTTTTGGGGAGGGCACCTCCCCCGATCCGTGGATTTGGCGACCGCGCGCCAAATCCATGGATCGCTAATCCATGTTTGCGCGCCCCCGAGCAAGAGAGAGGGGCGCGGTCCTCCGAGAGTTCGTGTCGACGTCGCGTTCTGCTCCTCTACGGTGCGTTCGTGTCTTGTCGGCGCGGTGGCGATCTCAGCGCGGGCGTTCAAGATTTGAACACCACCAGGGGTCTGGAATCGGCCGATGTCGAACGACGTGAACAATCGGGAGGCTGCCATCGTTCCAGATTGATCGATCCACTCGGTAAGGCATAGGCGATTCATTGCCTATTTGGGTTTTGTTTTATTGCCGCTGCTGAAGACCTGGGGCACCCGACCCGCGGTAGTTCTTTGCTGGGCGCATCCGGCGCCTCGCGCGACAAAGCGCTACCATAGGTCAGCCGCCTTTGACAGCAGTGGCTTTGGAAAGTAGGCGCGCTGTTTTGCCCCACGTCACACACACACACACACGCACGCGCGCACACACACGCACGCGCGCACACACGCACGCACGCACACGCACACGCACGCGCGCACACACGCACACTTCCTATCAGGT